TTTTTTTGTATTGCAAATAATTGAATTTTGTGTTTTGTATTAATTTCAGTAATAAATTCTCTTTAAAATGATATATACAAGTTTGCATTTTGTGAAACGTAACGTTTTCTATGAGCATACAAAGTTCAAAAACATAAAAATTTCCAAAAGTGTCCACAGTTTTGGCCACCACTGTATATCCACTCTGTTACCCGGCTCAGTGATCTCAGTTTTTTTACTCTTATATGTTTGTAAATTGTACATTTTTTGCTTAAAAAATGATTGAATTATGTTGTTTTTATCTTCCGGTTAAGATTTTTATGCCTTTAGTAAATCTGTATGCGATATTTTTACAATTATCAACAATTTTAAAGTTGTTTAAGTGCCGCTAAGCCTTTTTTTTTGATGGCGGCCATTGATTGTTTACATTTGAAACAGCAAACTAGTGGATTTGTTGCCAATCTAGAGAAACTTAGCTTCGCAACAACAAAGATAACGCCTTCATTTATTATTGCCAATTAAATCATGCTTAATCCTTTCTGGAATTTTTTTCGAGGAAATAAGTGTTTAAGATTTACTTCGTAATTTTTAATATAGATATTTTGAGTTTTTTAATGTTTTTGCCTTCTCGCGAAGTGAGAACTGAATTAATTGAATGAGAAATACTCAATCGTCTGTGAAAAACTGTTTCTTTTTTGTTTTATTTGCTTATTTTCTTTTATACATCATTCTAGCTTTATTATAGTATTTGAATAGAACATGTGGCAACGATTAGATAATTCTATTCTTTAAATGATATAAATTTTGTGCATTATGAGTTATAATATGAACGAAATATAATACTGTTAAGTGAATCTAGCGCCAGAGTGTCGCTATGGTAAACAAATACCAGAGTGAATTTTAAAGGATGCATTTATTCTATTGTGGTTTATGCGCTGTCGGCAAAGTAGATTTAATTCAATCCAATAAGTTTAAATGAAATGCAAGAAAAAATGCGTATAATTTAATATTCCGTACAAGGAAGTCATGTGGTCTACACATCAGATTTTGTTTTATTAGCATACGTATAGAACATTAATTTTACGGCATGTGAATTTAGCGAGTGACTTATATTGTAACTTTTACAGCAGCAAAAAAAGCTATTAGGAACATTTAAATACGTTTTAAATTAGATTATTGATAAGTTGAAATTATAATTACGTTTCTTGTTGTGTATATAAATGTATAATCAGTAAGTTTATTGAAGCAGGAAAGGTGAAAAATGCATAATGCCTTCGCTGGGATTGAAGCTCCGGACTTTTCATTTACTAGCTGGATGTGCTTCTGATTACCATGATGGCCAGTGGCCGCTTCACATAGTTACGAGATTTATAATCATAATTATAAATAGGAATGATGTTATTCTTTGAGTTCCTAATATTCAAATTCTTTCGCCCCATACACCTAATTTAAAACGGAAACGACTCTTTCAAAGATTCACATCTCAAGAAACAGCTGTTCTGAAAAATCTTTTTTTTTTTTCTTTTTTCTGTGGAAATGTTTATTAACTGAACTGAATTTTATTCTGTGATTTGCACCATGAACCACTTATTTTAATGATCTAGGGCATCGCAAAAATTGTTGTAAGGAAAAATAAAAACTTAGGTCTAAGATTTTGAATCAAGGGAGGTATGAAAGGTATTTAATATACTCTTAACTTCAATATTAACCCTCTAACTAACGAATTAAAAAAAATTACCCCATTTTCTATCCAAGTGAACAAAATAGGCCATAAATAAGGTAAATTTAGTATTTGGGAATTTTTTTGACAAACAGTTTTCAAGCCAAAGGATACCAAGCCAAGATACATATGTCCCAGCCGTAGTTAATGGTGGGATACATATTGTTACGAATTTGCTATTTAAAAAGCTAATGTTAGTTCAATTATAAATTAAATGGTTTTATTTCTCGCGCAGTGCAGCGCGTGACGAATATTAAAAGAAAGCTAAGCCGGAAAATTGAAAATACAAGAGCGCGTGCATTAAATAAATAAATAACTCTTTGATTTCGAGAAAGTACTGGAAAATTCTAGCGCGTGATTTTAAAATGTTATAAAAGGAGGAAAACATCTCAGTTCGTAGTAGTTGCTTAGTTTGTTGTTGTTTAGAAAACTGCTCTTGTTGATTGTAGCGAATTCGCGGATTAGCTTTCTTTAGCTGTTTTGAATTACGTTCTATTGGACATTTGAGTAGTTAGAAGGTAACTACTGTGAGATATTGTAATACTGCACGATTATTTGAGAAAATTTAAGCATTTTTGTTGTGATAATAATAAATTTTTGTTCATTTTTCATCGGACTTGTGCATTCATTTCATAACGAACCCGTACGCACGCAACAATATATATTGTAACGTATTTGCGTTGTTACGTTACCAACATAACTCCACTAAGAAATGTAAATTAACGCAGACGATTATCTGCAAAGAATATCCGCAGACGATGCGCGCGCTTAAAAATGTTTTTTCCAGTTATTCTGTAAGTTTTGACTAATAAAGTTTGTTGTTCGTATAAAATGTAATATTCTAATATTACAATATCTCACAAGTAACCATAGAATAGTATAAGCACACCTATTATTCTGGAAAGCTTTATTATATGAACTAGATTTTGAATTTTATGGTATAGGGTAAAGCATTCTTTGCATAACTCAGCATTACAACATTGGGCAACTCATATTTGTTCTTTCCTCTATGTTCATTGGGTGTACAACGAGCACAACGGCGTCTTGATATTTCAATTATTGGAAGACGATTCCGAACATTTAGGAGATTCTAAGTACTTTTTAAACTTTTAGTGGGACATATGTCTCGTTAGTACTCAAAGGGTTAAGGTACGAGCGTTACCCAGAAATTTCTTCTTTCCCCCTTTTTTACATAAAGAAATAATTAGACTTGAAGAAAACCCATTACTTGCAAAAATTTTAATAGAAATTCCGTTTTACATATGCTTAAAACTTCCTAAAATAGTTTAAATTTATAGATGTTATGCACAAAAATGTCCTTTACGAATTTTGTAAAGAAACATAACCAACATTATTTGTTAAAGAAAACCGAGATATTTCAGTCCTCGTTGGATACCAATAGATGTAGAAATTGTTAAATATGCAAAAAGAACCGAGACTTTAAGAATTCTCAGGTATATTTTTATTTTTTTTTTTATAAACACCAAAACATTTCCTGTCGTAAAGCGATTTTTACTTTTCAGCCGCGTGAAAAACCGAACTTTTACCGAGATGCTTAGAAGAAGTAGGTTTTGCCTTTTTAGTTTTTTCCTAGCAAAGCTTCTGCCCTTAAAGTAGGATAACTTATTTTAGTTATAAAATTAACTGAAGGCTATCTACCTATGGGAAGCTATGCCTACGTAGAGGACTCTCGAAGATGAAACTGGCTTTTATTCACATCTACGTATAAGTAAGCCATGAAAACTCATGCAACCAGACCGTTCACTGGGGTTTGATACAGACTGGATTATTTAATTATAGCAAAGCACACGAGGGCTATCTGCCTAAAGCGAGAGATGCCTTCGTGGAGGACTTTATAAGGGAACCTGGCTCGCATACACGTTACACATGGGGAAAACCACGAAAACGCCCATGCAGCCAGCCCGTTTGCAGGATTCGAACCTCGGACGAAACTACCAGAGTTCAGAGTCTGTATCGCTTGGCCGCTGGTGGGCGGTCTGAAACAAAATCGAACTACCAGTCTTCAGCGATCTTACCGTTCGGCTCCTGATGAGGCTGCTGTTAAACAGTGAACAAAGAAGAGCTCGAGAAGTTAGTAGCTGAAACCAATAAGGTATAAAACCTCAATCGTTCAATAAATAACTCAACCACTCGTTGATTAAGGAACACTTTTAAATTTCCGAAATCTATTGCTTTAGAAAGATAAAACCTTAACAACTGTCACAGAGCTAAGGTCAGCATGCAAACAGGGATAAAAATCTAAAAGGGTACTCTGCAAATAGGTGCAGTAGTTGCAAAATTTAATGTAGCCTTCATTTCGAAAAGTTTGAGCATTAAAGCTTATGAAATGCGTTTAATAAGCGAATTTTTTTTAATCGCATATTTAAAATTCATTTTTAGGCTTTGTTTAGTTTCGATTTATCATCAAGTTCAAAATTCTTCAGCTGCTTAGCAATTTACGGAAATTAATTTGCCTTTTTTGAGTCTAGTAACTTAAGATGTTTATTTTTCAAATTGGAGAATTTAAAGTAACTTTCACGTTCTTTTGTACGGGTGGAATAGGTATGCTTTCCGTTGAATTTAAGATTATCTCCACTATTTGTTTCATTGCGTGAATAGCTTTACGCAGGGTTTCTTAAACTGTGTGTGCGGGACCTGCAGCAAGGGGTTGCCAAAAATTTTAGTACTTTTGGACATTTCTTCAACTTATTATAGTAATTTTACAATTACCAAATAATTGTACACAATGTATCTGAAAATAAAGATACTACAACGCATTCTTTTTATAATATAAACGTTCATTTTCTTTGCTTTGCACGTGACGCTGTCATTTCGTCTTATTTAAAATGTCTATGTCTTAAAATTAGAAATTAAATTTTATGTCCTAAAACTGAAATAGTATATTACAGTAGCCATAGAATCAATTTGAATTGACTGTTAAAAAAAAAAAGTGAAAAAAATTGACCGTTTCACTCACGCGTGTGTTGGATTTGCGCAATACTTATGTCCCACAAAAGTTTTGTAAATATAATGGAGTCCTGGGTTTGTCGAGAAAAAAATCTCAGTGATAAAAAAGTGTAGCGACTGAAAAAAAGTTTAAGAAACCCTGGATTTACGTAAAAATATTTCAGTTAATGGTATATAAGATTTCTTCAACAAGCTGTTACAGGTGGTATTCCAGTTACTCATGAATACTTATTAAATTGATTACCCTTGTTAAACTTTCGTTCCTCAAGTCAAGCATTTTTTTTCTAAATCATGCACTAGCATGTTTTTCACATTTGAAAAATTAAAGTACATGTTAACGGTACAAAATTTATTGTGCAACAAATAAATCAATTACAAGTGGTCATACACCAGTTTACAAGACACAGACTTGAAATTCAGGGTAACTGCTGCCAGACAGTCCGAAAAATCAATCCTTTCAGGAAGCCTGATCTTATTTGCCTGAAAAAAAAAAAAAAAAAAAAAAAAAAAAAAAAAAAAAAGAAATTTAAAAAATATGAAATTTAATACATTTAATCACTATTCCCCTCTTAAAGAAATCTAATTAGTATTTACATTACACGTGGCGAAAACAAAATGCCATGAAAGAGAAACAAATTACCAGTGTTTAAGGGGTTTATTCACTAGAAAATCGTTGGGTAAAAGAAGATTCAGCCGCAGAAATGGATTAATTAGTTACAGCAAAGCCGTTGAGGGCTATCTACTTAAAGGGTTTGGTTTATATTTGATTATCCCAAATCTGTCTAAACACTTAAGAGCTATCTGCCTTCGTGAGATCTTTCTAATGGAAATTCGTTAGTTACTATGTTAGTAATGGGAAAAACCACGAAAACGTCTAGGAAGCCAGCTCGTTTGCCTACAATAGAACCCAGGTCCAATTACCAGTATTCAAAGACTGTCACTCAGCCGTTTGTGGACGCATATACTTAAGGATGCATTTGTTGAGGATTTTCAGAAGAATTCTCTCGTATGGGCATCATCCATGGAGAATACAACGCAAATACCAAAGTTTCGAGTTAGTTGGCTGGAATCCGAGCTCGGGTCGAATAACCAGCGTTCAGTAATCTCAACACTCGGCCACTGGCAGCTCGCTAAGGGAAACTGGATCATTTCCAAGTTCTACATGTAAAAAAACCATGAGAATGCCCTTCAGCCAGCCCTCTTTGCCTGGAATCGAATCGATATTCGGAAGCAAAAAACGTTCAGAAATTAATATATATCTGTCATGAACTATTCCCAGAATCCTCATTTTTTAATACTTTGCGTTTGAAAAATTTCCAAGTTATTTCACATATTCTAAAGTAAATGTGCAAGGAATATTGTGATTTTACGTTAAGATAGCTTTTGTCATTTGAACATTTGTAAACCATTTGTTGATCTATTACATCTTATTTAATAGTTAAAGTTAATAGCCCACTAGTAGTCGAGTGGATAAGAACGTTGAAAATGGTAATTAAATCCTGTTTCAACTCCCACTGAACATAATAATTAGAACCTGTTCAACAGGGTAGCCGCATGTTCTCGTTTGTAACACGACTAGAGCTAAATTTCCTTTAGAAAGTCCGTTCAGAATGGTCCTCTTTCCTTCAGGTAGCCAACCCTTGTATGCTTTGCTGCATTTCAATAAACAAATTTATGTTGACGCTAGTTTAAGATAAGTACTACCGCTCAACACTGCTACTTAAATCCGGGTTCAAATTCAGGCGAAAAGGGCTGGCTGCATGTGAATTTCCGTGTTTTTCACATCCGTAGAGTAAATACGAGCTAATTTGGGTTAAAAAAATCTCTTACAAAGTCATACTAGTCCTTAGGCAGCTAATACTTGAAAGTTCTTGCCGCAATTTAATCTAAATTATTAAATAGTTTTAATGAAATATAACTGAACATTAAGCAGATCTTTGTCAGGTCTTTTAACGAGTGGGTTTGGTTTAATTTATGGCAAAGCACACTACGGCTATCTGCCTAAGGGAAGGGATGCCTTCGCTGACTTTCCAAGAGAAACTGGCTCGTATACACGTTACACATGAGAAAATCCATTGTAATGAATGAGAATTAAAAAAAAAAAAAAAAAAAAAAAAAAACACCATTCGTTCAAACTGAGTATATTTCCGGATAGATGTTGGTAGAGATTATTTGACAATGAATTGTTAATTCATTGCTTAGAAGAACAGCGACATTATTTAATAGCACATAAAGCAAAGTATAGAATCCTTTCTCAGTTATGAAGAATTGTTCAAAAACATTTTGTTGAATGAAGATTTATTAGAATTTTATCCATCAGAAAATGTCATTTCTCTTTACTTTAGATCGGATAAAACTGACGTTAAACATTGTGTTGAAAAGCATTTGTTCCCATCTTAAGGAATTTGTATGTTTCTAATTGAATGCAAAAATTAACTGAAAAGCCAGTGAAAATAAGTTGAGAAATGATTTAAAACTATACCTAAACTGAATGCTAACACTCCAGTACAAGCCCAGAATAAAAGAAACTCTGGATTCTCGTTACTTAAAGGATGAAAACTTTGCCAAAACCAGAACATTTTATGATATTAAGGAGAATGGATAACTTGTAATGCTTCCAATCTTCAACTTACTGTTAAGAGATCTATTAAGGCGGGAGTTCGTTATTACTACGATTTATCTCGATTGTAGCTTAAAGGCGGGAGTCGTAGTACTACGATTTATCTCGACTGTAGCCAGAGGCCACTTTACATTTGTATTTAGTATGTTTTCAGGTTTGAAGCTGTTCTGTTGTTCAAATTTCGCTAGACATCAAAAGGTTACAGCCGAAAATGTCGCGGAGAAAACAACGCAAGGCGAAAACGTCGTGCTAGAAAACATCGCGGGAGAAAACATCGGGGAGAAAACGGGAGAAAACATCGGGGAGAAAAAATCGCGGGAGAAAACATCGCGGGAGAAAACATCGCGGGAGAAAACATCGCGGGAGAAAACATCGCGGGAGAAAACATCGCGGGAGAAAACATCGCGGGAGAAAACATCGCAGGGAGAAAACATCGCAAAGAAAAACATCGCAAAGAGAAAACATCGCAAAGAGAAAACATCGCAAAGAGAAAACATCGCAAAGAGAAAACATCGCAAAGAGAAAACATCGCAAAGAGAAAACATCGCAAAGAGAAAACATCGCAAAGAGAAAACATCGTCGTCGAAAATAAAGCGGTTTAAAAACATCGTCGTCGAAAATAAAGCGGTTTAAAAACATCGTCGTCGAAAATAAAGCGGTTTAAAAACATCGTCGTTGAAAATATTGTGGTAAAAAATAAAGTATCTACAAATCATCGCATGACGATAACATCGCAGACATGCTTTTTTCAGGTATGCTTTAATAAGTGTAAATGGATATTCCCATAATGATTTGTGAGCGCAAGATGGAAAGAAGGATAATTTTTACTTTCATATTTTTTATTAATTAATAAATTTTTGCTGAGAAAATAAAAAGAAAACTGAAGCATAAAAAATTAATGCAACTTATAGCACTTAATAGAATTTTAAACCGACATAGTTAACTAACAAAGGCCATTAATAAATCATTTTTATAAAGTTTTTACTGGTAATATTTCATGAAAAGTATAATCTATAAGTTACATTTAATTTCCTATGCTTAAGTTTCCTTCTTACGTTTTCAGCAAAAATTTATTAGTTAATAAAATATGTGAAAGTAAAATTTATCCTTCTTTACACCTTGCGCTCACAAATCATTATGGGAATATCCATTTACAATTATTAAAACCTGAAACAAGCATGTCTGCGATGTTATCGTCATGCGATGATTTGTAGATACTTTATTTTTTACCACGATATTTTCGACGACGATGTTTTTAAACCGCTTTATTTTCGACGACGATGTTTTGTACCACGATGTTTTAGAACTGCGATGTTTTCTCTTTGCGACGTTTTCACCTTGCGTTGTTTTCTCCGCGACGTTTTCGTCCACGATGTTTTTGCCGCGATGTTATCGGCGGACACCCTTAAGCACAAATTAATTCGGATAGAAAATAAAGGCTATATGCCTAACGAAACTGCGTAGTTTGTGCGGCACATAAAAAAAGAAAATTGACTTGCTTCAAATGAGAGTTTTGCATTGCACCTCTTCACCTTGGCGAGTGTTATCAACATTATCACATTTATAAAAATTACTAGATTCTTCTCATAAATATGTACTTTAAAACATTTTTTGTAATTAGTGTTTAGTTCTTTAATATTTCTTGTAGTTTAAGTGTTTAAATAAACTTTTTTAAGACTAAATTTTTTATGATTACACAAAATATCGCCCACTCTAGGACGAAAAACGAGGCGAAGCGGTCGCTGCGTTACCTAGCATACTTTCATCAAGATCCCCCTCCTTTAATGTGTTAAGATAATGAAGTAAGCCTCCATACTGAGGGGAAGCATTCACGTTCATTGCCAAGATTCGTCGGGATCACGGTATGTCCTCCTATCATTATGAAATTAAAAAGACCCGCCTTTCAAGATCAGGCGATTCTAGAATGAGTCGTACGAGAATTGCAAAGAGTTTTTGGAACGAGCCTGACTTCTCTGGTACTCATTCCGCCTAACATCTATTTGAATCATTTAAAATTTTACATTTCTAAAAGCCCGAAAATAAGCGACTATTTGAATTGTCGAAGTGCGATCTAAACCGGTAAGTAAACAAAAAAAAAAAAAGAGTTGGTCAAAATTTACTTGAATATGTAAAAACTTAGGTTTAATTAGTCAATAATTTTCTTTTTAACATTATAACGCACAAGTCTTTGAGATTTCTTTGGTCTAAACATGAAAGATAAAATCTTTTAAATGGCAAGAGTTAGGGGTTTTGCAGAGCTCAAGGACACATCAGGAAATTTTAATGATAAAGTCACTTTGCAAGCAGATATAGAGAATGCTATAGATAGAGCTCGCCTACACGAGTAAATTAGTGATGTCCCTGAAGGTGTTCTTTCCCTTAAGCAGACAGGTAACAGCAAACCACGAGAGAATTTAGTTTACCATTCCCATATTAAATATTGTGTATGGGTATGTATAGCCCTCATCTGTTAACCAAAAATTTCAAATTTTCACTTGCCAACGTTATTTGGGCATTCAGCTCTTAAAATTTCCAACTCTCGTATACTCTTTCAATGAAAGTCTGTATAAGAAATTCAAATCTCCTACGCATACTTACCTAATTACTTTGAGTTTTCTTCATAAGAGGCAAGAAACGCAAGCATTCACTAGCAATTTTTAGGCCATCATTTTAACTAACACTATCCCGAACAGATGTAACTGTTTAAATGAGCTTTTCTTACGGCTGAACACAAACTGAAGATCAAAGATGCTTGTGCGGAGATGAACGGATGAATGTTTATTTCTTAGTTCTTCCTGCAAATCAATATGCGGATCTTACATTAAGCATAGAAAAAATTTGCAATATTGTGTTATTTGAGGCTTACTGCGATTAAGAAGACAATGCCTGCAGTTAGGATACTTTTTGAAAGATTGTATTCTCTGCAGAAATAATGTTCTGAAAGTTCTTTGGCAGATCTAGATATATTTTTATACAGTGTTCCTGTAATCTCATTAAAATCTAGAAATTCCAATGGACGCAACTGAACGTTAAAGGGTCCAGAAAACTCGAATTAAGGAATTAAAAATAGGCAATTCCAGAAACTTTTTCTCATTAAATTTTCTTTAATACGTATGTAAAAATATAATGATTTAAAAGTCTTAAATCTTAGCTTAAAACATTCTGTTGATTAGTTGCACACGAGTTATCTGAAAACTTTGCGGAGAACCGTCTAATGGAAACTGGCTCTTGTTCACGTCCCACACAGAGAAAACAAACCCACCCATACAGCCAGCTCATTTACTGGAACGAAATACTAGCATACAACAGTTTTATGAAATTGATGAATGTTGAATAAATCTAAAAGGAAGGTTTAGACTTTTTGCTGTTTTTTTGGCTTAAAAGGGGATTTCCTATAATAAAGTACAACATTTCAAATAGGCATCATTCAGGCCATAAGCAAATGGAATGATGGCTACATAGAGAAGACATTAGAAATACTTTGTAAAGAATAATTTTACCTGTTTGTTTATTTCTTGAAGACTGCGATATTTTCAACTCTTTTAGGGTCCTCAGAAGATCTTCCAAGTCTTCATTGTTGGACAAATCAAAGTAACGAGGCCGAACTATAACACCACCATCGCCGATACCAACTTCAAATACATCTTCACCGACTGGTTCAGCTTCACCATCTTTGTGCAGTTCAACAGGTACGTTCAATGCTACATCCGATTCACGTAAAGTGTCGTTAAGAAATGTAATGGGATTTTTTATGTCTTTACTTATTCCCAACTTCAGTGGCATACCATTAGAAGCAAAAGCCAATATTATATCAGGCTCATCGCTAGTTTTTCCTGTTTCAGCAGATTTGCCAGGGTAAAAGAAAGCAGGCAGCAGCAGCTTAATTTCAGGTTTATCGCTTGTTTCTGGTAATTCAGTAGAACCACTACGATGATAAAAAGCAAGCAGCGGTTTAGCACTACTTTCCTGAATACGTAACGGAGCTCTAAGAGGATTTAACGGTTCCAGCATTAATAAGAACTTTTTATTAGAAGATACTTTTAATTCCAACGAATTGTCTATTTTCTCAGACTCTGATGCCTCCTTAATGTCCACATTTTCATCACTTGACATATCGCCTTGCCGTTTATAAACTGGATAATAAATAAGATTCGGTATAAAATCTTTCTTCTCATAATATAATTGAACATCAGAATCTTGAGGAATATAAGAGTCCAACACCAACTGGAGATTAGTTTTTGGAACTTGTTTTTTGAATGTTTTAGTATCTTTCACTCGTTTTCTTCCATCATGAGATAATTTTGAATTTTTCTTATCTGTCGTTTGTATTTTGTATACATATGGATCAATTAAATTTGATACAGAACGTCTGAGAAACTTTTCCGGGGGCCTATGCATTTCGGATCCAGAGGTCAAATCATCTAACATACCTTGAGGTTCATTTGCAGTTGTCTTGGATGCAACGCTTTCTGATACAGCTGTCAAATTTTGTGACATTTCTCTTGATTTTATATGAATTAAAGAATTTCGAATTTGCTTAATACGTTCATAAAGCTGACTTAATCTTTCAATTCTGTTTTCAAGATCATCTTTAGCCGGAGGGTGTTTAAGTAAAAATTCTTGAGCTTCGTCCCTAGTTTTATCTTTCTGTACGTCAATATCGGTGTCTGTTACTTGAAGTGTTTCTTCAGATTTGCCAAACGCCGAATTAGCTTCGAGTTTTGTGGACGTATCATCCATAGAACTTGAAACGGAAGTTTTGTCTTTTAATATTTCCTTCACTGGTGACGACTCCGGTGCTAGAGACGTGGTCATGGGCAGAGGTACAGACATATCTAAAGAGCTTTCATGTTCCTTAGTGTGAATATTCAGACCAATTACATCGGAAGATGCAAGAAGATCTGAAGGCGTTTCAGTTACTGCAAAGCCTGTGCTTTCTTGAAGATTTCTAGAATTTTTTGGTATTCGATTAAAATATCCAGATCTCCGTCTATAATTCTCATTAATTTGTTCAGCTGAATCTTCTTCGAAATCAGTTTTAAGGACGGTCTGTTTATTAAATGCATCTTCGATGTCTATAAATAGATTTGCAAGTTCTGTGATGACATTCAGCATCGGCTCGGGTGTTTCGTTTTCTGCTGGTAGTAAAGCTGAATCGGTAAAATCGCTTCCATGAGATTGTGCCAAGACCAATAATCGTAAAAGAATCGGGTATAAAAATGTGCACAGAACCAGTTTATCCATCTGAAAAGAGAAAATTTAAGTTGAATTTTATTCAGAAACTTAAAACCGTTGCATAGGATGTCGCAAATTCAAGGGATGACAGAACATGGCTAAAGTAATGACTTTTGTAATACGGAGAGCATGAATGAACCGTTGTTTTAATCATGGATATTTACAATTATTCAAATAAACGTCAGTAGCTGCACTGGACGACGATGGTTTATTTATGAGGGACAGATTGTCTCAAGATTATAAAACTTCAAATGAATGAAAACATTTGTAATATATGCATCACGTGATCGACATGCAGTTTAGAAAGTTGCTCGGCATGCCAGGCACTTCAGCAGCAAGACTAATTCTAGCAACAAAGTCTTCAGAAGAGTCAATCTGTCTGGTAGACAAACAAGATCCATTATCGTTGTGATGCCTATATTACAGCTACCTATATTTCATCTGAACAGTTCTTGTAAATAACGTTTATTTCTTATAAATATCCATGATGAAAACAGTTTCAACTCTCCATGTTCTTCGCATTTAGTGTATTTTCGGGTTCTTGATAGAATATGAAGTGAACCTGAAAACACTCTCACATTATACTATGAAATTTATTAATTTTGCATGTTCTATCATCCTTTAAATTCGTGACATCAATTGTCATCATGGATCCTAAGTATATTCCATGAAACCAGTTTAAATTGTTAAAAAAAATCAAATAATTTAACTGCTTGCGGTTTGATACAAATTATAACTAAACACACAAGCTTTGAACTTTAGCGCTGTTTTCAGCTATTTTCCATGCACATTGAAAACAGTTGTCATAAAACAGGTTGGCTTGGCTTGATTAATTGAATATGGCGAAGCATACGAGGGATATATGCCTACGGAGAGGGATGCCTTCACAGAAGACTTTCCGAGAGAAAAGAGTATTACAAAAGTCAACCATGTAGGCAACCCGTTCACCTAGATTCGAATTCATAATTAATTACCAGTATTCAACAATCTAACCATTTGGCCACTAGTAGGCTTTATCATAAGCATATTCATAGTTAAGAGTAGTGCATTACACAGATACCTGTCAGAATTTGAAGCTTTCTTCACTTCAGGACTGAATAAGCAAAATTCATGATAGTTATCTGCATAAGAAAAGGGAACTTAGTGGAGGACTTCTTAAGAAAAACAAATTAGTATTTATTTGGCTTCCAATACACAGTCTGAAATTCACGACAGAGGCTTTAAATCTGGATTGAACTACCAATATTAAAAGTTCTTTTTGAATAGGCATCTGGTATGCCTTTATGCAATGTACAAGAATAAATCTTATTCCAATAGTTATTTATTCTAACAGTGTTGGGTTTGGGTTTATTTGACTATTGAAAAGTATGTTCGAGTTATATGCCCAAGTGGAGAGATGCCTTCGTGGAGTACCTTTTAAGGGAAACCGACTCGTATCTACGACAGACATGGGGGAAAACCACGAAAACGCCCATGTAGCCAGCCCTTTCGCCTGGAATCGAACCCTGGTTGAATTAAGCTGTATTCAATGACTTCACCGCTCAGCCGCTAGTGGGCGTTGTTCAGATGTAATTCAGCGGATAACTTTCATACTATGGATATATAGAATTGCATAAAATTTTTGATGGGATTCGACACTTTTCATTACGGGGTAGCAACCAAAATATGCTCAAGCGAACCAACTTTATACCCTAAACCGCATCAATTATTATGACTTCCAAGTTATATGCACATTTGTTTAACAAAAGCTGACGGTTTAAGATCTTCGAAATCTGGTTTATCTTTAGATCTCGATTGGAAAAAGGTGATCCTAGAGGTAGACACTGAACCAGTTCAATAAAAATGGATAGAAGTATCAAACAGGAAAGAAATCATCGCATCTTATTGAAGCAAAGTAATTGACTGAAAATATATAAAGCATAATAAAAAAATACCTTTTATTTAAGTTGCTTGGCGACATTTTTGTTGTGTGCAGGTAAGTTGCAGGATTTGGATTACGGGGAAGCTCGCGAAAGGTAAGGATACTTTCGTGAAGAATTTTTTTAAGGAAACGGTCTAGTATTTTCGTCTGTCATAAGATGCAATATAAAAGCTGGTCTTCTTAATACTTTCACACACTCTGATGATTGAAAATAATCAAGTTAATTTTACTGCATAGTAGTTAATAATCACTAGAACAATTTTTGGGGACCGTTAATTTTAATAAAGTATGAATTGAAAGCATATTTTAATGCTTTTAAACTATTGTTCCTGTTAGAAGAGAATCTAATAAAAAGTTTTTTAAACGTGTGGCTAGGTTAAATAAGTAAGGCAAGCTTCTCTCGGTGAATCTTTACATTACGGTAAATTGGCGAAACTTTGGCGACCAACCCTGCTACAGCAACCTGCTAGTTCTTTTTTTTTGGGGGGGGGGCGCCCTTTTTTTTTACTCAATATTTTTTCCAACAATCTGCTAGCCGAATTACGCTTATACTAGAACTTTTATGGAACAAAAGTGCTTAATCATGACGAAGTTTAGGCGCGAAATTGGAAGAAAGTGTAGAATCGCCCACTGCTTGCCGCGATTTTAAGAATTGCATGTACACGTCGACCTATTTCCACTTGAAAAAAAAAATCCCAGAATTGCACAAAAATGGCATTGCGCACACTTTTGACTTTATCCATGTACACATCGATCTATTTTCACTTAAAAATCAAAGAAAATTAACAAAATCCAATTCTTCTTACTCTTGTAAAAAGCGCCAAACAAATAAGTGGACGATTCTGCACTTTAGCAGCCAAATTGTTTCTAAGTGCTTATTAGCTAAAATTGGAATTTTCCGGAAAATGTCACATTACATGTGTTATGATCTCTCATTTCTCTGAGACAAAATAATCTGTGATTCGAACTGTGTACTTCTCAGATTATTGCTAAAGTCCTAGCTAGTAACCTTTATCGCCTTACCAAAGTGTCGCCAAACTACCTGTTACCATATTCTAAAGATTAGCCCTTCTGTCTTCTTGGCATGGTCACTATGGCATGGAATGTCTTATAGACTTAAGGGGGACCATCTCTTATCCACGTAACAGATGGGAAAAACCATACAATTTTCTCTTAGCTGGCCTACGCGCAGAGGTAGGAACGGGGTCGAACTACCAGTTTTCATAGACTTTACCACTAGATCTTGGTGGGTCTTTCTAAATATGAAGACTATAATAGGTTAATTACTACAGTAAGCGAAGAACTAAAATAGAGCTACAGCCTTTAAAAAACTTTGACTTTATAATTTGAAAGCAAAAACACCGTTTTAACATGCAAGAATGATACATTAAATTTAAAAGATGCTCATTACGGAATAATATTGTTCAAGACTTGCGAAAATAAATACAAAAGCCCATTTGAACATCTCCACATGAATTCTCATACATAAGAATTGGAGCATGAATACCGTATAATATTAGAGTATTGAGCTGGCACATTTATCTTTTCACGAGAAAATTGCTTGGCGACGTTGTCCTACTACCAAAATGACCCTAAACTGTTGCAAGCAGTTTGTGAAAGAATAAAGCATTTCTTTTATTTACTAGTCTGTTATAGAGCAGTTAAGGTTAGTTTAGTTCGATTTAGTTAGTGAATGCAAATGACATTAGTAATATTTTAATATTAAGACCAAGTAATGAACAGAGCAGGTCTCCAGATATAGTTTATACATACATAAAAGATTTCACAAAGAAGTCATTCTGAAAATAATTAATGCAATTACGTAGAACATATTTAAATAGCATAAGATGGTAGTATCATTTCATTATTAACGACTGAAACTAAATATAAAATCTTTATATTAGGGAGATAAGAAACTGATTAGAAACTGGGGCTAATCTTTGGAATATGGCAACAGGTAGTTTGGCGACATTTTGGTAAGGCGATAAAGGTTACTAGCTAGGACTTTAGCAGTAGCAGTGTACATGGATAAAGTCAAGAGTGTGCGCAATGCCATTTTTGTGCAATTCTGGGATATTTTTTTAAGTGAAAATAGATCGACGTGTACATGGATGATACCGTGTATGTGCAATTCTTAAAAACGCGGCAAGCAGTTTGCGATTCTGCACTTTCTCCCAATTTCGCACCTAATCTTCGTCATGATTAAGCATTTTGTTTCATAAAAGTTCTAGTATAAGCGTAATTTGGCTAGCAGATTGTTGGAAAAAATGTTGAGTAAAAAAAAACATGCCTTTACTTCGTGAAAACAAAATGACGTCCTAAACAAAACTAGCAGGTTACTGTAGCAGGGTTGGTCACCAAATTTTCGCCAAAAAATCGCCAAGTTACTATAATCGAAAGATAACCGAAACGGGAAGTTGCAAATGTAATTGCCCAGCAGTATTTTGTCAGAACTCTAGGTACTTTTCTGTTTACGGTACAATGATTGTCTCTAAAACAAATGGTGGAGCTAAATGTTGATAATTACGTTAATAGTACATTCAACTATCATTATTTAAAATTGTACATCATTATCATACAGAAGTATTCGCGAAAAATCTTTTATAAAAAATATTTACAATAAGCTTCATGAAGTGAATAATTCACAGTCCTTGTCTTTCTTTGAAAGAACAGCCGTTGCAGCACCTTTTCATTGCTGCATTTGTACTAAAATTTGTGGTTGCTTTAACAAAATACGCCTAATGTCTTTTTTCTGAAAGAATTTAACAGCAGACTTCATTTGGCAACTTCCAAATTGTGGAATTGACCTAGATTTCTTTCTCAGAAAAAAGCAACAGGTCAAAATCTCGCACGAAAAACGTATCCATCTCGAAAAGTAACTTCACATTTTGTGTTGTTCATGACATAAGATTGTTATAACCCATACTCTTGATACATTTTGGTTACCTTCTCTTAAAGCAAAGCACCGAAGAGTTAAACAGGTAAGCAAAACACGCTTATGTACCTATTGGACAAAATAATGGACCGAGCCTTAGAATTCCTTTAATTCTAACTATCCTAGCTTTTCTTTCATCGGAGACTACCAATACTTTCACTTTACTGG